CATATTTATAGTGGAAAAGACTTATGTCACCATTTCTGTAATTCTCAGTAGTGACACCTAGATTTTTTCTCTTTCCCTTTCCGCCTTATCCCTTCCTATCCCTGCTTTACAAATATTCACTGTTTCTTTAAGTCACATTTAATTAAGGGCTTTTTTTCTTTTGTTCCTGTTGTCTCATGGTGGTAGCAGGTTAATGCTGAATTTATAATAAATGCAAATGGATTAAAGAAAATCATGAGTTCAAGATTATTTTAACTTCCCTGGCATAATTGTTAGTATCTCCATTGTCCCCTGGGATATGTAGGATTACATCAAATAAGCTGGTCTCTGTAACTGAACACATTAACTGTAAATGTGACTATCATGTCTTCACCAGAACCCTTTAGGTATTTAATTTGCTTGTGTGTAATAGATTGTCAGAGCAGTAAAAGTGAGACAAGTAATGTAAATGATGTAATGACGGTAATTATCGGAATGAATGGATTGGAGTGTTATTGCAATGTGATATTGTGGGAAGGAGTACGATATAGATAACCCATATAAATTCCCATTTTTAGCTTTATTTCCTTACACATTTTTTCTGAGACATTTAAAGTGAAAACAACATAAATGGGCATTCCCATTCTCTCCTTTATCTCTTCCCGTTATCCTTTGTCTGTTGCATTACTAAAACCAGCAGACCCCACAAAAAGCCAAATTTCTCCCAAGAAAACAATGACTTTACAGAATCAGAATTCTATCAGTGTCTCATGATTTATGGCATCCAAATATTTGAACTGGAAGTCACTTTGTAGATTGACTAGTTTATTCCCTTCGTTTATTGACTAAAGAACTGAAAACCCAGCAAGGTTAAATGACTTGCTAAAAGTTATGCAACCTGGTATTGCTGAGTGAACTGCAACGGGATGGAACTGGAGCCTGGAACCAGCCCTCCCACCTCGGGGGAGGAACTGAGGAACTGAGAGTTTACACCATCTGCAGGTACTGGAAAGGGTCTTTGTGACAGGCCAGAGCAATCCCTGAAGGAAACAGCAACAAGTCAGGAAAGGCTTTCAGTTTAGTTTGAGTGGGGACTGGAGAAGAAACAGTCTAAGGATTGTTAATCTTTAAGTATTGGATAATACTTAAAAAGTCCAAACAGCTGTTTAGCATGAGAGTAGAAGGATTGGGCTATGTGGCAGATGTCTGTCCATGATGAGAATGGAAAAAACACAGCAGGATCCCACTGAGGGACAGGTGTGTTAAGGCGGTGGTTAAAACAGGGATTTGGGCCCAGAGGAACGAGGTCAAAGCCAAGTATTAGAATTGACACCTGAAGAAGAAACAGGAGTTTGAATCCTGGGTGGAGCTCTGACTAGGTTGAGATGATCTGACAGTGGTGAGAACACTTCCAAACAGACTTTCCACCCAGCAGATTCCCTCAACTTTTGTGCTCCGTCCTGATTCAATCACTTCAGTCGAGTTTCACTGTTGATTAAAGTAACGAACAGCCTAAGTCGGAAACTATTCATACATCCACCAAAGAAAACAAGGAAATCATCAGATGCGGAAATAAAACCACACATAATCCGTGCCTTCTGCATTACCAGAAAACACAGCACTAGAACTTCAAATTGCTGTGAGTAGGAAAACAAACAGCAAATACCCACAGAACTCCGCTGCAAGCCTGGGTGTCCCAGGGGAGGGTGGGAGCAGAGCGTGGGAGGAAAGCACTCCCAGAGTGAGAAGATCCCACACCATGTGCTCAATACTGACCCCAGGCCGAGACTGGTGTCCTCAGTTCTGGCTGTAGGGCAGGCCTTGAAAGTGGATGGCACTTGAGGTGGCTGCCGCAGAGAGGCAGTGTTTCTGGGGAGAAGGGGACAAGAGAAAAGGAAGGGTGCCATTCGGAGATGTGAATGTGAAGAGGAAAAAGAAGAGGGAAACTTTAAGATGCTATAGAAATATAAGAGAACTATAAGACCAAACTTCCCCAGCCATCGTCCATTAAGGAGGCTCAACCAAAGATAAAGACCAAGATGGAAGAGTAGGACACGTGCAGGTGACATGATCTGATAAAGCAGAAAGAATGCAGCTAGAGAACTGGCAGGAAAAGGGAAGGGGGAGGAAGTTGCTTGTTGCATACGTAATAGGAGTGAGTCAAGGGACATGATTTAACTAGATGGTAAGGATAAAGTAAGACCAAAACAGAACAATCAACTCTATCAGAGAATCTGCAGGAGGTGGAAGGGAATGGGGCAGACAGGTAGGAGAGGGGGGTGACACCTCCCTGAGTGTACCCTTTAGTATAATTTTGACCTTGGGAATCATGTTAATGTTTTCCATATTCAAAAAATAAAATGAAACCAACAAGAAAAGGAGAAATTAAATTTGAATACTATCAGAAATAAATGAACTAAATTTCAAATGAATAGCATGACCACACTAAAGAGGAGGGAGGAACCAATCTAGTAACTTTTGAAAACGGTATTTTTACTATATACCTGCATTCTAAAGAAAAATCAAATTGTGAACTCTTCTTCTTGCTATATTTTGTAGGGTAACAATTTTGTATGCATTGTAGGATCAAAGATATAAGTAAATATAATGATATTGGCTGCCTGTGTTCTCACTGTAGACAAAGGAAGACACAAATATTAAAAGGGGAAGACAGGAAGAATTCTGTGGGGGTTGGGTGTGTGTGTATGTGTGTGTGTGTGTGTGTGTGTGTGTGTGTGTGTGTAGTGAGGAAGGGGAAGAGGGAAGAGAAAGAGATCCTTCCACTGAAAGGGACTATCAGCAATGACTCCTCAGTAGCAATTGGCACATGTTAACCCCCAGATCTTAGCTTCCAAATATTATTCCCCAACTAAATGGGAGAGGATTCCTTGGAGAAATGGTCAATTTCAGAGACGGGGCAAAGAAAAAGCAAAATGAACCTGAAACAGTTCCCTAAGCCCAAAAAGGAAGAAAGTGTTTTAAAAATGATGAAAACATGTCAAAAAGACACAGCTTAAAGGACTTCACTTTCCCAAGGCTGGGGCAATTTGAGCATCAAAATAAATACTGACAATAATAATTTATAACAATTTCAATAATATAAGATACTGTTAGATAACGAAATTGGAAAAGCACTTCCTTGTGATAGAATGCAAACTCATAAATGTAGGTAGAATAATGGAGTGAGAAATCACCATTTGCAACCAAAGTAATCATTGATTCAGGCAAGATCCATCAATGGTTGCTAAAATAAGTAGATCAAAGTTTGATGAGGAATGGAATATTTTTATAGTCTCAAAGTATCTCTCCACAATTTGTTTATTAATTACAAAAGGAAAAATAGTAACTTTAGAGAGATTTGACAGACCTCACCTTAACCAAGTGATCAAAGTTAACACGTCCAATAATGGGACACACAGACATGATACGATTCTGATATGATGCACTGAGAAGCACCCAGCATCACTTTTGTGTTTTTCCTGCCAAGTGTGCAAGAGGAAACTTGAAAGAAATCCAAATTAAGAGACATTCCACGAAATGATTGGCTTTTACTCTTACAAAAAAAAGAAGAAAGAAAAATAAATCAACAGCGTGAAAGACAAAAGAACTGTTCCAAATTAAAGGATCTTGTATGAATAACAAATAGATGCAATGCATGATCCTGAATAGGACTCTGGACTGGAAAAAATTTGATATAATGACATTATTGGGACAATGGATGAAATTGGAATCAGGACTAAAGATTAGATTGTGGTATTGTATTAATGTTATATTTCCTGAATTTGACAACTGTACTGTGGTCGTGTAAGACAATGTCTTTGTTATTAGGAAATACATACAGAAGTATTTAGGGATAAAGAGCATCATGTCTGCAACTTACTCTCAAGTTGTGGGGAAGAAATTGAAAGAGAAAGGATGAGATAGCACATGTGGGGCACAGTGTTAATAATTGATGAATCTGAGAAAAGAGTATATCGGAGTTCTTTATGCTATTCTTGTGAATCATCTGTAAATTTGAAATTTTTCCAAATAAAAACTTAAAAAAAAAACTTTATGGGAAGAAACTGGAGGAAAAGTGTTAATCTGTGTACCACCCAAAATTCATACTATACTTTGAAAGAACTGATTTTCAGCTTCATCCCCCGACTTCCAAAGATCAGGGAGGGTTGTAGTGAAGGGGTCCGAATTTGCCTGGGGCAGTGGGGTCGGGGGTCACTGTCGCAGCTGTGGGAGAGTTAACTTGCACAGTTCAGGATTCAGGTTGGAGCCACAGCAGCTCAAGTGGACCCAGGTCACCAGATGTGGAGGGCGGGTCTCACGCTACCATTTCCTACTCCTTCTGAAACCTAACGTGTTTATATTGGTTGCTTTTTTCCCCTTATTATTCCACTAGTAACCTAGCAACTGTATTCAACCTAGTATTCTATAGTAACATATTTAATGTTCAGACACCCATATGGCTCTGAGGAGCAGAAAAATAGTAATTTTAAAAAGGTTGAGGGAGGAGCGAGGGGCTTTTTCAATTCTTAAATTTCTCATTATATTCTTATATTCAAAAGTCATTGATTAACAAGTTTAGTTTGCATTCGGAATTATACTTTCATGAATTTAACTGAGACTCTTTTCTGTGGCCTAAACAAATATTGGGTTATGATACTGTGACAGGGCTTAATGAAGTGGATGAAGGCTTTTCTTACATTTACATTTTCATAGAATGAAATAAACATTGTAAACTTTTTTACAGAACACTCTCACATCAGGCCATGATTTGATTTTCTACCAGTTCAGAATATCAAGTTTTGCATTTCTTTAAATGGTAATGTATTTTTTGTGAACAAGTTGATAAGACAGAAGTTGTCCCTGAGATATTTATAATAGTACTTGGAGCAAACTTGTCAAAGATTCTTCTAAAAGATTGTTTTGGATCCTGAGGAGATATATTTAGTAACTGTATTGAATAAGTTGTCACACAACACAACATTTCATTGATTTACTTGTATTATTTTTGTATCTTACTGCAGGCAGAGAACTCAGCATTGGCTTTGGAAAATGAAAATCAGCGGGAACAGTATGAGAGATGTCTTGATGAGGTAAGGGGAATGGAGGGGTTCTCTCTAAGAGGCTGTGCTATTTAGGATTCCCTTAATCAGATCTCAGTATATGTCTGTTTCCAGCCTCCAGAGAACATTAGCATTTCTCCTCCAAAGAAAGGTGTAAACACGTGGACTTAGAGAAGGAGGGTCAGTCAATCCCCCTCCGTCTCCCCTTCCCTCCCTATTTCTGTGTACAGGCATCTGTAAAATCCCGTTTGGTTATTGTTTAATATTCTTGGGGCACAGTTGGGTGATGCTTCACTGTGTGATAAATTCCTTCTCTCCAGTAAGTGTGACTCCAGCCTGTGAATGAGAAGGGCTGGGATCAGCAGGCTGCATCTCCAATTGGATGCCATTTCTGAAAAAGCAAATCCTTGATAGAGTGGGTGGGGATGATGTTCACAGCTGGCAGCCAGAGGGAAAAAATCAGTAGATTGAGAACAAGCCAAGAAGAGAAAGGGAAGTGAGGAAGAAAATTTGAACAGAATGGAAGAAGACAGGACCACATGCACGAGTAAACTCAAGAAATATTATTTGATGATAATGAAGAGATGAAGGCAAAGATGGTGGACGTTTCAGAGATCCTGAGAGGCAAGGGGAAAATTGAAGTGTGTGCAGGGCCCTTGTTCCCCTCTCAGCCATTCGCTCTCACTCTGTGGGGGGCTATACCATCGATCTGTACCATATCAACCAGGCGGGACTGGCCATTCACCTCACTGACAAGCTGTCATCTGGGACTTTGTTGGTGATTGGAGTTATTAATTTAATGGGATGATGTTTTTAGGCTTCTACCCAATACCCTAAAACTTACACATATCCTTCTAGTAGATTCAGTTTGAGAATTGTTACGATATAGCTGACAGATTTTAAGCAGATAAGAAAAACTACATTTAATCCTGGTGTCATTACCGTACCAGTGGAAACTAGCAATATATCTTCAGTCTTTTTCTCTTCACTAACAATTGGGAAAACCTTTTCCAACACACTCCTCTTGCTCTTTCTTACCCCTTCCCTCTTCCTGACACCCCTCCCTGCCCTGTCCTCATAAGGTGATGAATTATGCTACAAAGAACACAGCCTCAAATACCAGTTATGACATCATCACCTCCGCCATATACCTCTCTCCTCCTTTCACACTGGAAGTGGTCTCTGTCCTCAGAGTTCCAGTTGTGCTTGGTATTTTCCTATACCAGTGGTTCTTAAAATCTTATCCCTGGACCAGCAGCATCAGCTTCACCTGGGAACTTGTTAGAAATGCAAATTCTCGGGTCCTACCCCAAACGTACAGAATCAGAGACTCAGTTTGGGCCTGGCAGTGTGTGTGTCAACAAGACCTCCAGGTGAGGCTGATGCCCGCCGAAGTCTGAGAGCCACTGTCCTCATAAGACAGACCACTTTGTGTTACAATTACTTCTATGGGGTTGAAGAACCCTCAAAATGTCCTCAGAAAATTGTTTAATTATTTAATATTTTAATGGTTTACTATTTCCAGCCATATGCATTAATTACTCAAGCAAAATGGTGCTTGCATTTCTCTGCCCTTACAGGACCTAAAAAGATTCAAAATAATCTTTACAATGTCCAAAGTTAAAAGAATAACTCAAGTAAGTTGACATAAAGAGGGAATGATGACTCAGAGTCTATGAGGCCAGTTCAGCACATCTGACCCCTGTTCCCGAGGCTCTTGGTCCAATCAAAGTTTAGGGCAAGAGAGACAAATAGATCCAAGGATATTTAAAGGGATGAATATCGCCCTTGGGCGACAGGTATTGATCAGCAAAGGTTCGCTTTAACTTCCTGCACAGAAATTTCTGATGAGACGTAATCTCTATTCAGAAGTCAAATTTATGTGAACCACACCACAGAAACTTCTCATTTGTCACAATTCTCCCACAAGTCCTCCCTTCCCATCAGTTAGAAAACTTACAGCATTTCTTTATGGAAACTCGTAGTCTGTTTTCCATGTGTTCCTTAGGCCCGCGTTCTGAAGATTTCATCAGAATGTGTTGGGCAAGACATGTTTTCACCCACAAAATCATTTCCTATAAAGCTTCCACTGAAGATAGAATTTTTACAGGGAGAGTCCCTCTGTTCTTAATTGCAAAAATGAACTGTTGCCAAAGAGGTGATTTGCAACCAACAACCACCTTTGAGCAGTGTAAATGTTTTGTATTCATGAATACTGGCCCCTGATTACACATGCCAGTTGTTTTGTAACTAATTGCATGCGAGTAGACAATCTATTTCCATGCATTGTAAGAGAACACTCTCAAAGGGGTAGTTGAATGTAGTAATAATGCCAACTGGAAATTCTTTTCAAGGCTTTTTATACTAATTAGGCAAACTAACAAGGTAAGGCCTCATGTAAGTTATTTCCTTGCTAGTGGGTTTCATAAAACACACACAGGTGGATAAAATGTAAATTTAAAACGTGCTTCAGTCCCTTTTGCACTGATTGTTGTTTTCTGTAAATGAAGAACATATTGAGGATTTGGGGAAAAGACTCGGAGTCAGAAATTCCCTCTGTGTGTTCCAAAAAAAGAGTGTGTTTGTTCAGAAGGAAGCAGACCCACATCCATAGATACACATGCACGTGGGCTTACTAGGCATGCACATGCACACAAGAGTGCACACAGAGACTTCACCATCACCCCTGCTGTTACCTAGCTCCCCATCTCCTTACCTTGCAGTACAAAGGTAAAGCCAAGGCCCAAACTTGACTTTGCTTGGAGAATTGGAGGTTTTCATGTTTGAGTCTAGTTTCTTTGTCTGACTGTTTGACAGTTTGCTGGCCAGCAGAGAATTGCTGTTTATTCTCAATATTGCCTTGGCCACAGGTCCTTTAAGACTAATTTATTCCCATGTGGAGAAGTATAATGATATACAAAATAAGTAAAATAACATCTCCTCAAACTGCTGCCTGGCATTTAGATGGATTGAGTTGTCCTACAACTTTATTGAGTGTCAACTCAAGGTGGAAGCTGGAAGCTCAAGGTGCCCCCAGCTAGTGGGAGAAGGGAAGGGAATGGTTAATCACAGAAAATTGAGGTAAGGGAAACTCACAGAGGAAATGAGCTGCCCTGGGGCCCTGGAGAACATCCAGCACAGTCACCAAAGGGCAGAAGGAGTGGTGGGTGGGCAGGCGTTGAAAAGCAGGAGGAGCTGGATGGAGCAGGTGAAGTTTGAGATCTAGCAAGGCAAGTGGTTCTCACCCTTGCCTGCATGTTGGGCTTACCTGGGGAGCTTTAAAAAGACTGCTGGCTGAGCCCCACCTCAGAGATTCTGACCTGATTCTGGTCTAGAGTGGAGCCTGAGCATAAATTTTTTAAAGTACCGCAGGGGGTTATAATCTTCAGCCAAGATTAGGAACCACCACCCTTAGGTTCTCTGAATGCTGTGCTATAAAGAGTATCTTCAGGAAGCGTCCAGAAGAGGATGAAAGCTCCCCCAAACTTGGATGCGATGCTGGAAGAGCAATGGACCTGTGTGGAAGTTTTGGGTTATTTCCAATTCCTCAGAAGTGTCTGAGTGAGCAAAACATAAACCCTATCCCAGTGTTTCTCAACGTGTGATTCTGGCCCCTTCTGCATCAGAAAGACGCAGGGCAATTGCTAAAAATGCAGATTCTCAGACAGCCCTTCTCAAGCAGAATGAGAAGTGGGGAAATTGGCAATTTTAACAAACTTCCCTGGTGCAGCTTTTGCACACAGAAGTTGGAGAACCTGCACTCTTTTTTAGACCAGAGTTGGGCCAGAGTCCCGTATAGTCAGTGAGGATGCCATGATCGAGCTCTTCTCTGACTTCTCTGTGCCCTAAACTTCAGAGCACAAGCCTGGGGAAAACTAGACCTTTGGATGTAGTCCAGAAAATGAAAAAGCACCAGAATTTCTTTCAAACCAAGGCTAAATAAAGGCAGAAGTAGGTTGTTAAGAACAATCCTTACCTTTCTCTCTGATTCCTGTGATATATGCCAAGACTGGACTGTGGAATCATTGTCAGGACTTTCTCATTGTATATCCCACATCTGAGCTCTAAGTAATCTTTAAAATCAACATCTTGATAGATGTAGATGGAAGATGATCCTGCTTATGGTTCTCACATGCTTCCAACACCCATTTCGTGAATGGACCATGAAATCGACAATCTACTTCCTATGTCTGTCCTAGAACGACCATGAGGGGCAGCACCTGCGTTCTATTCATCATTATTTCTCTAAGACCCAGCACAGTTCTTGTCCCATCCTTGGTACTTAATGCACATTTGTTGAATGACTTAATGAATGAATGGAGATTATCAACAGCAAATTAATTTCCCAATTAGTTTCCCCTGGAATCCCACATCCATGTTTAGACGAATGTCTCCCCGTCCCAGTATTTTACAAGATTTTTTTTACAGAGTAAATAAATAATACAGATGCTTAGTGATTTATATTTATGCATGCATATGACATACACACACTTCATTCTTTTACAAATAAAATCCCTTTTTCTCAAACCATTCTTTCTTAACTTCTTACCTGAAAATGCATTTTATTCTCTGAATTTCGAGTGACCTGCTTCAGATTTAACATTTATGGGATGACTGATACTGCTTTACAGGCACTGTCCAAGGTGGTTTTTTGGGTTATGTCTGTCATCGCATGCATTTTTCACAACTTTGGAGATAGCTGTTTCCCCTAATTTACAAATGAGAAAATTCAGGTTGCTCCCCCGCTCCCATACACATTAATGTGCAATCAACACAGGCAGTATTTGAACTCAGGTCTTGCTTGTGATTCTGCCCCAATGTTCTTCCCGTTTGCCCCCAGCTACCTCAGTACAATAAACCAAACTCACAAGCATAGAAAATTTCTCCAAAGCACATTTTCCAAAACTTGTGCTTTTTCTACTGGGTTTTTAAATTTCCTTGCTGACAAGACAGGTGCTTTGCATGATAAAATAGTACTTGAAAGTATGAAAGGACCACCAGGCAGGAGGAGAGGACTGTCAAACGTGGTGCCTTAACAGTTCCTCACTCCGCCACCCTGGCCCAGGCCTGGCTGTCTTCTGGGTGTGGTGAGCCTTGGGACTTCTCATTCAGCCTCAGGGACTGTTTTGCACTAAAATAACTGACTGATGACCCTACAGCCCCAGCTTCCCTCCCTCTGCCCACCCCCTTCCAGGGCAGTGCTGGAGGGATAATGACCCCTGGAAGGCTGACAGCGAAGAATAGCAAAGACTTGTGTGGGTAGAAGATGAGCCAGGCATCAGAGGAGATGGCTAGTCTGAGAATTCTTACTGAGCAGAAAGGAGAGGTGTTCTGGGCCCTCATCATCTCTGTTTCACTGCAGCCCTGCTTGTCTCCTAGAGGCAAAGGGGGGAGGTCCCCACAGAGAGCCTAAGGGAGGTTGTAAAATAAGGAGGGGCTTAAGGATTGTCAGCTTTGCTCGGTGAGTCTCAAGTCCCCCTGGTCCAGCCCAGCTGCTGTTTTTCCTTTCTTTGGAGAAGAATGCTGTCAGGTGACACTGGAAGTTATTTGTTCTCATTAGCTAGACCTGCAGGTGTGCGGTTATTTGCAGCCCAAGTGCTAAGGGCATAATGCTATGATGAGGGCAGGGGCCCATTCCAGGGGTCATGTGGTGAGCCTATTAGACGTTGCAGGCACAAGCTCCAGACACCTGTTCTATTGATAAATCAGGGAAGCTTAGCTGTTAAAAGTAGAAATGAAACCCCAGGAAACTGTCTTTACAGACAGTACCCAGGAAAGCGTTCGTACAACCTGCCTGCTCTTCTGCAAAAAACTGTGAGTCCTTCTGGGTAATATAACCCCGTGTCAGTAGGTAACGAAATAATGCATTCGTGTATCTGTGTTCAGTTTTCTGGTAAAGCAAACAATTGCCCAAAGTACATGCCAGAAGGAACTGCATCAGAGATAGAGTCTGTAAGCCTATAGGGCAACATACTTGGATTGCAAAGATATAACATATTTACTCCTGTGGGCTGTTACAGTTAGAATATTCATTTGTGTCTCCTGTTAAATCATGTAAAGAGCTATTTTATGTGAATGCTGTTCCACAGTCTGGCTTAAGTGAGGGACCAGTTTAGAAGAAAAGAAAATATTGATATTAGGCAATTTTATGAGAATGTAAATCAAATCCAAAGTTTGAGATCCAAAAGAATTAAATTATTTATGGTATGAATTAACGTTGATACATTGTTCCTGATTCAAGCTACACGAATAGTTCAATTCTTCTGTTGTTCTCTTTTTTTAGTTTGCCAAGAATAAAATAGTTGATGTATAGTTTGACTTTAAATCCTCAGTTACGAATTAGAATGAATGTTTAAAAGCTGAAAGATTTTCAGGATTGTGCTATTGGTCAATTTGTGTGGACTGAATAACATTTATCACCATTGTGATCATGTATAAATTCACTGATAAAGGAAAAGGAAAAGCACCGGTTAAGGAAAATATGGTTTATTTTGGTCTATGATAGTTTTTAGGAATGCTTCTTTAACTTGGGCTGGACTGAAAAAAAATACCTAACAATTCTTTTTTCTTCAAAACTATAGTTAGTTTCAATGAAAGCCCTTTTTTTTTTTTAACTTAATGTCAGCAATGTAAATTTGGAAAGGATTCTTCTAGAAAGAAAATCCTTCTTGTGCATACAGTTCGGCTAATCAATTATAGGTAATCTGAGTCTAGTCATTTCCTGCTTGTGGTGTGAATGCCTTCTAACCACAAGTTGATGACAGCCTGTATTTTAATTTTCTGTGAGACTTAGTGGTAGCCAGCTGTTGTTAATGATGTGCTATTTTGTCAATATTGAGTCAAGAAACAATTAAGCTCCATGAAAACCTTCTTACCGTAATCTGTTCCACTATACCAGACAGAAACAAGCGTACGTGGTTTAGCATCTCCAAAAATAATTTTGTTATCAAGAGAAAAAGAAGATGAAAGTGTCCCTCAGCCTTTGGTTGAAATGTGCGAATTACCAAGATGATTACATGCGTATCACGCTGTGTTATAATTGTGTTCTTGCCAACCTCCTACCAGCTATGCTCTCTTTGAAACCAAGGAACACATCCCAGTCATCTAGCTTTAAAAATAAATACTCTGCAAATTTATATTGAATAAATGAAGGAAGAACTGAATGAACAGAAGTACCTTTTATTTAGGATATTTAAATATTCTGACTTGGTCTTTAATGCTGTCAGTTTTAGTTATCACACTAAATGTTTAGTTTTTGTGTCAGCTGAAAAATACCACATAAATCACCTGTCCACTTTAATTTTATCAATAGTAAACATATGGTTATATAGCTTCAAGACTATAGTGAAGTTTAGTAAGTGACTCTTTGTGAAGTGTTTTTAAAATCTGCAGGTGGAAAAGAAATCTTAATACAAATATATGTAGAAAGAATGAATGGTTATCTGAAGAAAACGCCAAATCCTTGAAATAACAAGGACAGGTTATTGGTTTCACATGTGGCCTTTAGCTGGCGTTATGTCACATGCCCACTCTTACACCAGTCACTAAAAGGGAATGGAATTACCAAGATTGTCTTAGATTAATCAAGATTCACCTCCTTGAGCTAAGCAGGGCCCATCTTCTCCTATTGTCCCAAACTCCCCGATACCTGAAGAAAATTAGGGTTCTGTTACTATATTAGTAAGAATTATATTTGCTTGTGTATTGGAAGAAACTCAACATAGCAGTGGCTATTCTATTTCTCACATAGAAGTTCAAAGATAGACAGTTCAGCTCCATGCATGGTCAGGACCAGCATTTTCCTGCCCAACAATACTTATTATGTGCCTTCCATCATCAAGGTGGCTGCTAAAGCTCCAGCTATCACTTTCATGTCTCAGAGAGGAAAAGGAGGAAGGAGGGTGACCCTTCTTCTTCTTAGAGACTTCCTGTAAGCCCAAGAAAATAGTCTGCTTATAACTCATTGGCCAGAAGTTTGTCAGAAAGTGACACTTAGATACAAGGGAGCTACCATCCAAATGTAGTTGGATGTGTCCAGCAAAAGAATCAGAGTTTATTAGTTAGGAGGAAGGGGAAAATAGATGTGGAGAAACAACTACCAGACTCTATTATAGGTAACAACAACAAGAGGATGCCACAAATGAAGATGTAGAGGAAGAAAGCGGAGGATATAAGAAACAACGAGTTGTCCCCATTCTCTGCCATTCAACCCATCTTTTGTGCAAGTAATATTAAGCAGTGAAATAGTCACAGAGCAAAAGAATAGGAAGGAGAGGCAAAGGACATTGTAAATCAGCAAAGTGTAGAAACTCTGTACAGATAATTAGGATCATGTTTTGCGCTATATCATTTTTTAGCCTTCTCGGAGTACTCTACATATGAAAGGATGTTATTTTTCCAAATACGGAAATGTGAAAGTCAAGGTATGAATGATCTTTCCAGCCTAACCATCTTAATTAGCAGCAAGGTCACCTTTGGAAAAGGCAAAATATTACCTAGAAGGATAGGCTTATTATGAAAAGAATCAGGTCCTCTAGAAGTAGAGGAAAGAGGCAAATGAAGAGCTAATTAGCTACAGCAAGCTGGGAGAAACTTATTGGTAAATTAGAGTCTATGCATAGCGTCTCATTATTATAAACGACAACTCTCTTCTTTATTTTTTAAAGGTAGCCAACCAAGTTGTTCAAGCTCTGCTCACTCAAAAGGTAGGTCACTTTCTGTCTGTTATTTTCAAAGTACTACGCGAATAGATTGGAACACATATTGTCAAACTAGGAAATGGTGATTGATAGATGCAATACTTTTCTATTTACTCACTTATGTTAAAATTGTGTGTTAGACGGCATACGAAGTAACATCCATGACCAAAAGAATCAGAAAATTCAAACTCTCGGTAAAGTAATAGAAAGCCCTTTGAAGATGAAAGATTTCTGTGGACCTAGATGAGTGGCAAACCTATCATTTTTCTTTAGTCAATGCAGACATTAAATAAGTTAATGGATTCCTCCAATTCCTATAAAATTAATAGCCTCTTTTGGACAACATTAAAGAAGCTTAAAATTCACAAGGGATCTTTGAGGTTAGGGAAGTTACTTAATTTCTCTGGCCCTTAGTTGCTCTTCTGTGAAATACAGATAACAATTCCACCTCCCAGAATTGCTGTGGTCATTCTATGAGAGGAAGCATGGAGAGCAGTTGCTATAGGAATTGATTTGTGATAAATATAAAACAAATGGCGGTATTAGACACTGAAAGTTGCTGAGAGTAGATGTTGAGCATCCCCACCCACACACAAAAAACTGTTAAGTATGTGAGATAGTGGATGTATCAATTATCTTGATCTTGGTAATCATTCCACCCTGTAATGCACATCAAATCATAACGTTTTACACTGTAAATATATGCGATTACATTTGTCAATTGTTCCTCAATAAAGTTGGGAAAAAATGGTACTTTTTGGGCATGGAATTTCGGAACCTTCTCCTTTGCTATCTGCCCATTCTGCCTTCAGACAATATAAGATCGTGCTATTGTGGCAGAGTGTGTAAATGCAGGTAATTGCCTAAACTTGGCTGGTTTGGTGAATTTTATTGAACTTTTCCCGTCTCTTTCCATAATGTTTCTCCGAGGCTAAATTCTAGTTCCTTCAGATTTTCTTTATTCTAAGTTCTGTCTCAGTGTGATGGAAACTTCCTCTACAAAAGGAAATCTTAGATCCTGTGGCGTATTCAGAAAGATGTGGCTACATCACAGCAAAATCATTTATAACATTCATTTTTTTAATTGGAAACAATTTTATGAGGGGTCGACCACTTATGGATGTACTTAAATATTATTTCAAGTTTATACTATGGAGGCATGGTGATATTTTTGCTAGACTTTCTCCCCCAACTATTTCTGTCAATATATCATGCTTCCTGCTACAAATGATTTTAACTGCCTCAGGTTTTACATTAACATCATATAATTTGATGAGATTTGAGCACAGTTATGTGAAGTTAGAATTAGGTTCCATTGTAAGTAACAGAGATCCAGAATAGTAGTGGCTTCAATAAGCTAAAATGTCATTTCTTTCTCAACTCTAAATCCACAAGTAGGCAGTGCAGGGTTGGCATGGTGCTTTGCTACATAAAGTGCATGGGGTCCCTGGCATCCCTGGTTTCTATCTTGTTATTCTGTTGGATATGGCCTACATTTTCAAGGTTACCTCGTGGTCCAAAATGAATGCTTTAGCTCCAGTCATCACATTCACATTCCAACCATCAGGAAGGAAAAAAAGCTGAAGAAAATGAATAGGATAAAGGGCACACACTAGCTGTCTTTTAAGAGAGACTTTCAAAAGCTTTCATACTTCCCACTTCACATCTCCTTGAACAGACTTTAATCGTATGGTCACACCTAAGGAAGCTGGCAATGAAGTCTTTATTCTGAGTATGTGCCCAGCAGAAAATCGATTGTTATGTTCTTGTGGAATAAAGAGAAAAACAGATGGTGAAGAGCAATTCTTAATTTCTGTCACGACATATTTGAATGCCTTTTCTTTTTCAAAAGCTTTAATATCTCAATTGCTTTCCTCCTGTTGGAAACTCTATGCTCATTTACTTACAAACCTGAGGAATGAAGGGAGGGTTGTTGCAGTTGGGTGGAACTGTTGAAAGACTTCGTATGCCTGCTTTTTTTAATGGTGCCTCAGAAAAGAGACAAGGAATCTGCCTAGTACGATATAAAGGAAAATGGGACCCTTCAGGTCAGCCACAAAAAATAGCTACACAAATCCAAGTAATAACTAGTAAACAGATAAATCTACCTTGTTACAGTTAAGCAGTAAGACAGAGCGAGACGTGCTACTGTGAGATAGCATACCTCAGGGACATGGGGAGGCAGGGGGAGAGGCCGAGGCTTTTGTACATTCCAGAAGAATCATGTCCTGCAGAAATACATGTCTCCCAGTTTTTATAGGGACTGTAACATTGCTGCAAAAAGACTAAAATTTCTTTTTAATTAAGAACACAATATAGGAAATAAAATGTACTACAAATACAGATGAGAAAGCGAATTCTAAAGAAGGATGTAGCTAGCTGGCACAGAGTGAAAACAGAAATGTTGAGTGATTTGTCCATGTCACAAAAAACAATCCTTGAGGCGAAATTATTGTCATAGCCATCAGTTTTAGAATATATCCTTTGCTACAATGCAAAGGCAAATATGCCGTGGCTTCAGCTCTTCACTGGGCAACCCAGAAGCATTTTTTGTGGCAATCATGAATCGGCCCGGATAAGCATCCTAAAGTAACAGTGTGCTCCTTTTCCCAATACTGATACAAAAAGAAGATTTATTTCCATAAATTTATCAGTTTCTGTTAAATGTACATGTGTTCTCCTAGTCAAGTAATTCAATTTATCTCACAACCTGTGGCTTCCCTTGAGAGAGCAGACTGCCCCTCCTCTACATCAATAAGGCTAAGGCGACAATATTAAACCCAGCTCACTTCCATTTATGACTCCAAATCATAGATCCAAGTCTACAAGTGCGAGTGAAATCAATAATCTAGGCTAAACTCGTATTTTTGTCTGAAATATATTTTATCTTCATTAAGTCGATTACGCTCTCTGAAAATGTAACTTTGCTAGGTTCTTCAGTGGTTTTTCCCCCCACTAACACCAAACTTGGAAGAAAAGCATTTTTCCCTTGCAGTTATTTTCCAGCCTATCAACATCCTCAGCCTTATCTGCATGTTTTTTAGAGTAATCAAATATTTATACGGCCTTTTTTCTTCACCAGCATGGAATAAGGCTCTTGTATGGTAGAATCTAGTAATTCAGCCATTTGGATAGAAGCGGAACACAGGTTTGTAGCTCGAAGCTGAAAGAACTCAAATTTCCACATGTTGCCCTTGTAGGAGGGGCAGTCAAGCCATGTGTGTGCACTTGTCTAGCAATGGTGTGTTCAGAGTCTGGTTCTCTCAAGAGGGTCTGTGTGTATTTACTGTGCATTTACAAGAAGTCAGGCCCAATGTCCAGCACTTTAAATCCACTAAGTCATTTTGTTCTCACTGCAACCCTTTGAGATAAGACTGAGAAAATAATTTGCTCATAGTTCCAGTTGCTAGAGGTGGCAAAGCCCTTCTGTTAACCTCGGGTCATTGCACTCAAACTCCACGCTTCTATCCTTTGCACCGTTCGGCCTCCACGATCCCAATTCAGTCCCTTATTATTTTTCCCCACTATAGTCCAACAGGCAAAGGAGATGCTATGAAAATCAACAGATAGATTGAAACCCAATCATTAGTTACGATCACAGGAAATAAAGCAAAAGAGCAAAGTAGCCAATGGAATTCTTAAACCTTCTGGAAGTGTTTCTAGTCCTTGCTAGCGAAAAGAACATCCAGGATCTGACAGGTGGGGAGTCAAAACTGACTCTGTCAATTTGGAGTCAAGCTTTCTCAGGATCAGTCCTTTTTGATCCCTAGAATTTCAGAATGGCCAGGGACCTTAGCAAGCATTTAATTCTGAGATTGTCAACTAGGTGTGGTAATGGGCTCAGTTCACTGTAGTCATATACACTGTTTAGCCATCACCGAGATTGAAAATGTTTTCATCTGAGTGCCTTTAGGATGAAATCTTGCAGTGTTTAGTTTGCCCCAGGACTCTCCACTTCCTATTAGTTAGAGCCAGCTGATTCAGTCTCACGTTTGTGTTCCCTGCCTTGCCTTTTAGGTATTTGCTATTGAGGCCCTTGGTTAGTCTGAGATGTAACTAGCCTTTTCCAGAAATGGCTTTTCTTCTTACAGAAGCCTTAGCATCCTTGGAAAAGAAAGGGGTGGATCAGTGATGGCCACTGAGAAAGGCTGTGACAAGGAGAGACTGGAATGAGGTGGCACTTGACAAACCATCTCATGGAACGGCTAAGACATCCATTCTCCTGAAAGCATGGTTTTGTGCAGTAGCTCATTTTACAGTTAAGGAAATTGAGGCCTAACTAGATTAAGGTACTTCCTCAAGGTCATGTGGGTAATGAGGACCAGAGCCCAGGCCCCTAACTCCCAGTCCAGTGTATTCCCATGCTATACACTGCCACTAGAATAGGTATACTGCTATTATACAATTTTTACATGATACAGTCAGATTTAAATAGTTTTCAACAATGCTCCAGTGATGTCAATATCTGTCCTGCTTCTAAGCCATCAACATTTTCTTAAATTTATTTCAGCAGGGAACTGGTAACGATTTTACTCTAAATGCGTAAGGTAGCTATACTCCGTGGGTACTACAAGCAGTGGATCCTGAGTTTTCTTCAGCACCAAGTGCAGGTGAAACTGACCAGTATTACAATCTGTGGATCCTCTAGGGAACTTAAGATTTGGGATCATTAAGGTACATGAGGCCTTTCAGACCAATGTATCACATTGCTCAGTATATTTTGCCCTCACTTTCAATTGTAATTCCTTACTCTCTGTTTCCGATTGATAGTGACATGCAGATTGTAAGGAAATCAGATCTGGCTATTTTCTTGAACCCAAAGACCAGTACACTTTCTTAGTGAGATTAGATGTAGTCAAACTTTTGGTATTATTTCCCCCTGATAAAATTATACATCATGTCCCTTCTTTTATTTCAGAAGTCACAACCCTATATTTTCAGTCCGGTCCTCTTCTTGAGGCCTAAGACATACTAGAGTCATAGAAATAAAAGGATGTGAGAGAGGACAGATGGTCCAGCCCCTGCTGTGAGCCATGATCCCTGATTATTTTTAATTTGTTTCTAATGCCTTCCTTGGGAAGGATAGTCTGAGTTTTGCCTCTTTAACTGACAGGGTCAGAATAGTGGCCCTTGTACCCAGGCTAAGTGTGTCTCATGCTTCTTTATGTCATTGGGTTCCCATTGTGAGCAAAGAGGATGCAAAAACATCTGGCTGCTACCCTCTGCCCAGATCTCACAGTAGCGATGAAAGAAATTGTTGTTTTTCTCTCTATATATCTACCCAGTCTGGTTGTCTTTACATATGTGCGTGTAGACACACATGTGTGGTTTTGATGATAGATTCTTGGGATGATAGGTGTCTGGCATCAGTTACTGTCCACAGCTTGACCAAAGAGAAGAGGAATATTAAAACAACATGGGCAATTCTTTTATGTCTACAAATTTTCAATCCAGCTCAGTTCTGTCTGTCAGTGATTGTAAGACCGGCATCACATTCCTGAAGCCTTCCATTTCCTCCTCTGCTGTGTGCTGGTCTAGATGAGCCCAGAGTGATGAACAGTTCTCAAGGTCAATAAATTATGTTCCTACTAATGAACTTTTACTGCCTTAAGTAAGAGTACCAGCCATTGAAATGTGGGTACCTGTACAAAAACTCCCTATGGAGTTTTTTTGATTAATTCTTTTTCTTTCATTCTTTCTTTTTCTTTTTCTCTTTTTACCCATGTGAAGAACTCTTTCAAGTTATTCTCAGCTTTGCTGCTAAAAATTGTTGATACTATTCCATACAGGTTGTCCTTCTGTTTGCAAATCCATCCTTGTATGCTTCTGTTTCCATATCTCCACCTGCAAATGGGAATGACTGTGTTTTCCCACCCAATAGCTACTATTAATATTTATTTACCTCACAGTCAAGTTTTATTAATTACTTCATTAGCAGTAGTGAAAAAAAATTAGTCTTTGGGAGCAGGGAGTGTTATATACATGCTAGGAACAAAAATTAGCCTAAGTGAGACACAGAGGTTGAATTCTAAATAAAAGAAATAAATTTCGCCTTTTAATTTTTGCAATGCCCAGGCCCCCAAAATGGCCTCTCCCAAGTGGCATGTGTGTTCCTGCACACACACACACTCCTTCCCCTGCAATTGATGGCAGCTGACCTCTTAGATCTTGGACCCAGTTGCCTCATCCTGAACATGGCATTTCTTTTCTACACTCTGCATCTGTAGGCAGCAATCAGTTGGAAACATCCCATGCATAAGCTCCACCCATTTAGCTAAAAAGATGAAGAGAGTGTAAGCTCTGCAGTGAGCCACACTATGGCCTGTTTCTTTGCTCCCTGGAAATAGAATTATTAAGACTGGGTATGATGATGCACACTCAGGTAAAGCCTCAGAAGCCAGGTCTCTCTAGCTTCCCACTTGGGTTGACACAAGGTTTTGGAACAGGCCCGCTGAGGTCTGTGATTCCTAGTTAGGGCGGGGCATCAGAGCTGTTAACCAGTGCTCTCTCTCACTTGCAGAGCCTTAAGTCAGGCCTGTAGCTGCCTGACATTGGAATACGTACATGTACAAACTGAAAGTGTTGAGAAACTTAAATTTGTTATCACTCTATCACTAGAGAATAGAACTTGTCATCATCCTCCCTTTTAACAAAATAATAGCACAAGTTTATTAAGCTCCTGCTATCTATGGTGCTGTGCTAGGTGATGGAATAAAAGAATGTAAGAACAATATACTTGGGCTGTTGGTTACTTGAGTATCTTCTTGTGCTTGTCTTTTGAGGAACATGTCTTCTAACTGACAAGATGATTCTAGAGCATGAAAGATAAAATCAGTGCAAAGTGGTAGATGTGAAACATCACCTAAGAGGCATTGAGCACTCACTGGAGTTCAGAAAAGGGAGCAGTCCTTGGGGCATGCCAGATAAAGTGTCAGAGAGGGGATAGATAGAATTTGAATTGGATGTCAATCAAAGAGCCAAACTTGGACTGGAAGAAAGAGGTGGATGACAGGGGAAAGTAATGGTGGGGGAGGGAGGAGGGTGACACGAATGCATAGAACTTTTAAGAAACAGGCAGACCCTTGTTCTTTGCATGGTAAGAACAGAAGCCAATTTTTTTTTTTTTTTTTGGTAAGTAAGATTAGCCTTGAGCTAACATCTATTGCCAATCTTCCTCTTTTTTCTTGAGGAAGATTGTCCCTGAGCTAACATCTGTACCAGTCTTCCTCTGCTTTGTATGTGGAACACCACCATAGCATGGCTTGATGAGTGGTGTGAAAGTGTGCACCTCCAATCCAAACCCATGAACTCCAGGCCACCGAAGTAGATCATGGAAACTTAACCACTATGCCACTGGGCCAGCCTCCAGAGGCCTTTTTTTAAAATCAGGAAATGATGAGAAAGATAAAGTTTGCAACATAGAAAAGGATCAGCTTGTGAAGAACTTCGAATTGGGGCTTTATTTTACCTGGTCTTTCTTGAACCCCATCAAAGAGGGTGTGGCCATTTAAGTGCTACAAGTATCTTTATCACAGGTTGGTTTGGAAGGCGGATCCTTGATGGGATCCCAGAGAATCCTAAAGCTCCCGTGTGTCAGTTTCCCTCGGGAAAGTTGAGGAAAAGGTCTCTGTGGTGTTTAAATCATTCAAAAGAGCTGCTGCAAAAGGATGCTGAGGTGCCGTTGTCCTACTTCCTCCCCAGCACTGAGACCAGAACTCCACAAAGGATATGGAAATCCCCCGTTCAGAGGATGGGCAAGTTTCAAGTGGCCTTTTTAAGCCTTCGCTTCAGAGTTGTTTCCCTCCCACTAAATGCATCACTGATTCTATTAGCCACAGCGCTGAGAATTTCAACTCGTTTCTGCAAATGACGACGACAGACTCCATCAAAAGTGATAGTTTCTTTAGTTCATCAAATCTCTATTCACTGCGAAAACATTATTGTCCTTGTGGTTTGTGCTTTATGATTGCTTTCATGAAGACAGTGAAAAGGCCAAATATATAGGTGGAAACTTAAATTGACTTTATATCGCTAAGATTTACCATCTTCAAAAATAGCATGCTAGATTAATGCATTTCTGATTTCAAAGTGCTTTTTTTAAAATTTGTTGTCCTTGCACATAATAATTCTATCAGACAATGGGCTGTGGAAGAAAATGTTGTGTGTGATTTATTTCTGGGGGTTTTGAAGAATAAAAATACTATTTTTTTACTAATGTGTCTGAAAATAAGATAAAATATGGTTATAATATGCAAAGATGTCTTTCAGTTATAGACTTTTTTTCTTTCAATGTGTTTGTTGTAGGATCTAAGGGAGGAATGTATAAAGTTGAAAACGAGAGTGTTTGATTTGGAACAACAGAATCGAACGTTAAGCATTCTATTCCAACAGCGAGTCAGGCCCACTTCTGATCTGCTCCTCCAGGTATGTGTTTATGCGGAAAACAATCTTTGTTACTGAAATGCTATTGACAAGAAGTTACTTAAATTCGAAAGTTACCAATATCTCCACCATCAAGGCACATTGCATTAGAACTCTGATTCTTTTTCCTCTCAAGGGATGTCATTAAAATTGAATGTCTCTTAATTTCTGACTTTAAAGCTATGTTTAGATAAAGAAACGCATCAGCAAATAATAAACATGTAAAAGGGGCAATCAGAAGGTGTCCTCTTGTAAATTAAGTGAAACCGTGGACCGGAGTCAGGAAATAATTGATTACTTTGGGGACCAGTGTTCATACCCTTGCATTCCATGATAAGCAAGCAAGAGTTTTAAGGTAATACCAAGGTACATTTCTTTATTTCAAACTTTCTGTAATCAAAAATGCAGCTGGGGTTTGTTTTCCTTTCGTCTCTTTCTATGCAGCATCACTCCTCAAAATGTACTACTTCCGATATTGCGCCTCAGTGTTTTACTGGTTCTCTTTGTCTAAATGCTCTCACCAAACTCTTTCTTTACTCACCTTCGTAACACGCAAAGTTATTGAAAGTCAAACCCTTTGAATCATTTTGAAGCTGCTCCTGACAAAGCACTAGAGAATATATCTGACTGCAGGGAGGCAGGTGAATTGGCAAAAGGGGCTGGAGGGCTGAACTTTGCTGTTTCCTATTTTTTTAAAACCCTGTTAATGTGCGTATTTGCTGAAACAAGCTCCTGTGAGGCTTGCTCAGAGCCCTTCTGAGGCTAAGCTGGCAAAGGGTGCGTGAGGTTTCACAGGGGCACTGTACAGTGTATAAAAGATAACCCCAGCTGCCTGGCGGAGAGAAAGGAAAACGAGAGAGGAGTCCTCTAGACCACGCTGTCCAGCACTGTAGCCACTCGCCATGTGGCGCTATTGAGATCGAAAATGAAGTTAAAATTAAGTTCCTATTCAAACTAGCCACATATCAAGCATTTAGAAGCCACATATGGCCAGTGGTTCCCATATTAAACAGCGTATATATGGAACATTTTCATCATCCTAGAAAGTTCTGCAGGACAGCGCTTTTCCAGATGGTTGAGACCGTGTTGCTAATTTACCCTCTGAACTTTGGCATAAACATCTTGCCTTTACTCCTCAGGGAAATAAAGAGAAATTGCAGTTCATTTCAGAGAGAGAAAAATGTTTGGTAAAGCTGAACATCAAGATGTCATTTCCCCCCCAAATTAAAATAAAACAGCTCTCTGAATTGTAAAATAGATCTCATCTCTTAAATTAATTTCCTCTCTACTTTATCTGTTAGAGCATAATTTATAATTTATGACTCAAAATTGTGTGGAAAAAAATCAGCTAGCCCTATTCTGCTTCCTGGCCCCGACCACGGTAAATGTTGCTCACAGAAAATCTTGCATCTGTAAAAAGTTACATTTCTTTTACTCTCTCATAATCAAGATCCAATATTATAATTACTTTTAGCAGCTATTGCATGTTCATGAACTTTTCTGTTCTGCCTGTTTTAACTTGAGGCTTTTCTGGAACAGTGTTTAAGGATCCACAGTCCCTGTTTATGAATCATGGTGATTTATTTCCAGAGTAAACACATGTGCCATAGCTCTTTGAGCTTTTTCATTGGCTGTCACAAATTTCTTAAATCCATATCCAAATGGCGTTACATGATATGAATGCTAACACCAGAGCTAAGTGTTTGTTCATTGGGTGTTTTCAGCCAACACATGTCATATTCCTCACCAAGTAGTCCTCACTTCTAAGAGCCTCTCTAATTGAAATGGCGTTTGTAAAAGATGCCCTGTTCATTGTTCTGTGAAGAAGAATGATAGAAAGTGTGATGCCTACCCTCTAACATCTTAGGGCTCACGGTCACAAAGTTGTTGGTTTTTTAGGTAGCCTGTTAATTATTTGACTCATGATTTTTCATTTCACAAATACGTATCGTGAAGCACTGGCTACAGTAAAAGCAGTCGGAGCTTATTTTGCATGTATGGAAGCTCTAATTATTTGTTGAATGGAATAATGAATAAATGACACAAATTCATTCTGCAAGTTGGAGAGTTATTTTGCACACACCTAAGAGAGGTTTATGCCCCCAGCTCTTCTTCGGAACTTCTCCAGGCTTATATGGATGCGTTGGAACTGTGCAGCCATGATGGTCCAGCTCAGTCTGTTTGAGGGTGTGGCTGGTGGGCTCAGCAAATCCACCAGTGCATCTGGTCCCAAGTATCATAGACCTTAGAGACTTCTGCCCTTGGACTGGAGATGCGGTAGTAGATTTCTAAGTAGTTTTCTACATATCTTAGAAAACTGCGTTAGTTGTCATCTGCTGAATGCAGCCTAATGAGTCTCTACAATCTCAAGTAGTCACCTGAAGAGAAATGTAGAAAGAAGATTGTTGAGCTCATTGTGATTTTAGTAGACATATTGTAAATAGTGGAAAAGAAAATAATTTCTAAAAAACAGTCAAGTCTTTGTCCCTCAAAAATAGAGAATAAGAAGTTACATGGATATTATTAAGAAAATTCTTATATAAGAGAAACAAAAAGGGATAGTTCTAAGGATTAGTTGATAGATTTGAGGAAACTTACAAAGGGAACCAGATCCATGATAGGGAAGAAAAAGGCTCACCTGAAAATTAAAATCTTAAGAATGGTGATAGACTTCTCTGTTGGTTCCAATTTTCAGAATGATATTTCTGGGACTATAGGTGGTAACAAATCAGATTAAGAAGGCCCTCCATATTAGAATCAACAATTTGAGCTAAATTCTGAAGAATTGAGAGGCCATTATAGCAAATAAAATCCCAAAGTAAGGTTCTTTATGGAACTGGAGTCTCTAACCTTATTTGAACCTACTGACCAGATTAATCAATGCTCACCATTTCTCTCTTGAAAATCATATTAAACAACACTCTCAGTTTACTCAGCACTGGCACCTAGTAGAGTGCGCTCCGCTAAGAGTACTTTCTTCTCTTACCAGTTGAGTTGAATGCTCACCATGAATGAGTCATATTTGTAGCTCAGTATGTTTATGCGAGTAGTACTTATGGTAATTATATAATTTTTAACTACCATATAAAATAATGAAATGTGGTGCAAAAAGAATCATTTGTATAAAACAAAGTCGAGCGCTTCAAAAGCATCTGTAAAGGCATGTCACTAAAAAAAATGTTTGTGATCAAATGAAATATAGGTGTCCAACTATAAAAAACTTGTAGATGGAGAATTGTATTAAATGTAGGGGCATGTAAATTGCTTCTCAAGTGGTATTAAGTTCTTGTTCCACTGTTAAGAAAAGCAAAAATTAGAAATCATAGATAACGCATGAAGCATGTGTTTCATGTGAAAAAAGAAAAAAGACATTGGAGGACTCTAATAATGGGATCGCTAGGCAAAGAAGCAGCCTCAGACCTATTAAAAATGTTATTTAACAAATACATAGTGCTTAATGTCTTGGATACTGTTTTTCAACCTTTACTGTGTTCACCAATGCAATCTCCATTGCAATCCTGTGAGGTAGGAGCTATCATTGCACCCATTTTGCAAATGGAGACGCTTAGGCGCAAAGAGACTAAGTCACCAGCAGGTAATTGGCAGAGTGAGGATTTAAATACATGGTCAGGCTCAAGTTCCTCCTTTTCACCTCCTTTCTGTGCTCCCTCTACATGGAATACAAATGGACATGAAGAACGTTCTTCTGATTCTGTACTCTAATATTTTGATTAACTGGCCCATCTGTATGCAGTTGGATCAGGGCTTCTGCAGTTCAATCGCAATAAGGAGCCAACCATGTTTATATGTTTCTTAAAGGCTCTTGATTAGTGGCATCCAAGATTTTCCCCTCTTCTGTGTATTCTGCTTTTGTCTTGTTCTGGGCACTTGTGTTGTCATTATCCCTATAGGACATTATTCTCATATTTTCCATCTGACACAGTTTTTTATTTTCCTTTTTATCTGATATTTCAAAGGGTCCTAGTACTCATATCTTTAGTCCAAGACAGAAAGAAAAGAATGTTATAGTGTAGATTATTCACACAAATAGATGAGAATCTAACAGCGTAGAACCAAGGTGTAAGAATTTGCTGTCACATCTTAGAGTGCTAACTTTTTTTGCTGGTGTTTTGTTTTATATTATTATTTCAGATGAGAGGATTTTAAAAATTCTACTTGTGCTTCTGATGTATTTTTTCCTCTGCTAAATCTTTACTTTCAAAGTGTAAAGCTATCCACGAATGTTATTTGGCAGAACACTACACTACACACTCACTCCTCCACCTGTCCTTAAGCAATGAATCCTGTATTCTGAGAACTAACTCAATGCCGCCACCGTTCAGGGGACTTCCAGGGCAACGGCAGTCCTCATGGAACTTTCCCTTCGGGGAGCTCCCTTGGTATTGATGATGCATGCCACACAATTAAGCAGTTCATAGTCCTGTATGGAATTATGGAATCCTAGTCTCTCATGTCACTGATAGGGGAGGTCATACAGTATAACCCCCCGTAACTAGAGATTTCATGTTAACTTTTCATTTCACCTAAATAGGAATCTCCTTGAGGGCAAGAACTATGCTGAATGTTGCATTTTACCCTCCCATAGATATTATCACTACTTATAATCCATATTCGGTGTGTACTTGTTGATGGATTAACATTTCATGACATACATTTTTTATGGTATTTAATTTTTTGTGTCTTGGGATGTTTTTGTTTGTTTTTGGCATGAAACAATCTCACTGCCTTTACTCTTTTTCTTCCAGTTTTATTGAGATATAATTGACATATAACATTGTACATGTTTAAGGTGTACTAAATAGTGATTTGATATATGTATATATTGTGAAATGATTACCTTAATAAGTTTAGTCAACATCCAGCATCTCATATACTTACAGTTTTATTTTCTTGTGATGAGAACTTTAGAGATCTGTTCTCCTAGCAGATTTCAAATATACAATACAATATTGTTAACTATAGTCACCATGCTCTGCATTATA